GCGTACGTATCGATCATTCGTCTTGGCATAAGATATAACATTTACTGTGTGTAATTCATATGGGTTTTGTTGATAATGAAACCGACTCATCATTTCGCGAGAACAACCTGCATCCAGATGAAAAATAAAGATCCAAGTTAATTGAATGATAGGAAAGCTTGGGCAGGGCATTTCTGGGACAGTGAATTTACCATTCTGTTCTGTTGCTACATTTGTAGCGTTTGAGAACAATGGCCTGCAAATTTACTCCATGCAGACTGTACCAGAAATTCGAGTGTTTGATGCCTCTGATGAGAAGTCAGTTTCAATTTTGCGAGCTCTTTGTACTAACTGCCGAAGCCGAGCTTACGGCACTTATACGCCTCAGTTCACTACAGTAAGCGGTGTTTGTCAGGGTTATCCTTTCTTTCCCCTCTTCTACTTAGATTCTTCGTAGACTTTATCCTGAAACAGTTGTATTTTCGTTCTGGAATAGCGCCATCGATTTGCGTTCAGGTGGTAGATTGTCTGATCTGGTGTATGCAGACGACTTTGTGCTGCCAAAGGACGATCCAGGTATGTTGCAAGCTTTTCTGGATAGCTTGAGTTCCAGCGCATGCGTTTTGTACCTTCAAAGTGTAAAGTGTGGCTACAAGATTCGGGTGGACCTGTCCTCAACCTCTCTCTAAATGAGCAGCCATTAAAGGAAGTACTTAGATTTTGTTATTTGGACAGTTATATCTCACCTGGCGGATGTGTCAGAGAATAAATCTCGGCTCGGTTGTCCTTTGCCTACTTAAGATATCCGTGGTGCCGTTACTACATCTGGTTGTCTGTGAAGGGTCGAATGTATGTTGTAGCAGTTACGACTGTTCAACGCCACATGGCACGAGTCCGGTGGCTAAATAGGGCAAGCAATGCCGGGGCTAGGCTGTTCGCAGTTGTCTACTGGAACTACTGGTCGACCTCCAAGACTACGGTAGTTGGTGCATGTGTTATACATGTCTCCAAAAGGTTGCCACGGTGAGCGATATTCGCCGAGGCAAGTAGTGGGTGGAATAAAACCAAAGGTGATCAAGCTAAGATCTGGCATGAGGGTATGAGAACCCTAACCGGTAGACTGGGTCACATAGGTCACCTTTGACTCTTTGGATAGGGACCGCAAGATCATGGTAACCGGTGGTTAAAAACAGTGATATGGCTGTCGCAAACAGTGGCTTCTGTGCATCTGCGCCATACTGTTGCAACCGCAGTCTATCTTTTATATACTCTACTCGCTTATGCAAATAGGCAAGCAAAACCGTCACATGAAAATGCTTGGTTAATGCCTGTTCAGGGAAGTTAAACTGAATTCTCAGTCCGTTTTTTCTTATTTTCTCGATTTCAGTCAACACCTACTCGTTGGATGTCATCTTGTTGGATTGCCATCACTTTCTCAAAGCCTTCCCCTCACCCTCATGGAAGCAGCGCAAATCCGATGTGCCACTACGCACAATCAAAACGATGCTTCATGTACTTTGTCGACTCCAAGGTTCCAGTATTTTGGACTTTCTTGAAAATATACCAAACAAGGTGAACATTTGTTGGAAATGATGTGGAGTGATTGATTGTGCGATGCGGCTGTTGTTTTTGGTGTGCTCTTGCGAGCTGCAAGTGTTGTTCACAGACGTTTCGTGGCCACATCACCGATGATGTCGCCCAGCTTGGCTACGAAGCGTCTGCGAATAACACTTCCAACTCGGAGAACTCACCAACATCAAGGTGAACGTCTGTTCAACGATTGGCTCATCTCATTTGTTGTAGGTGGGTTTTCCGCCCATTATCCATATGATCGAAGAATTTTTATAATTTTACATGACCCCTTGGTGCGCACAATAATCCCGGTTGTTTTTTCTCGTGAATTTTGTCTGCTAATAATCCTCGACAGTTCATCTTGTTCGTTTGTTGTTGTTTTTTATCTGTAGAAAAACAATCTCCAGTACCACCGTGTTGATGGCCTACATACATACGATTTTCTGTTCTCGTATCTCCTGTTTGTGTTTGATCTGGTTTACCTACGCTTGTATTCGTCTAGTCCATCTTGAGTGACATATTGTACGCGTTGTTTTTTAACTTACTTTGTGTGCATCCTGGGTTAGCCGCCATATTCAAATGGTTCTTGTAGTGCTTTTGTCCCCTCTCCCCCGGCTTTGTTCCTACTATGTAATCAGCATACGACAACCTTTCGGGCTGAAGATGATGATCAACACAACTTATCAAAAGAAGAAAAGATTGGAGTTGAGAAAGTTCATGTCCTAGTCACTTATTGATCGACATTCTGTGTGTTTGAATTGTATGATTTTTGGGCTGCAAATCATTTTCACGAATGCTCCAGTTCGTATGGTGCTGGTCAGGTAACAATGTGCCACCTTCGGTGTATTTTGGTGGTGTCTACTTCAATTCCAGTCAAATAATGGTTTTGTGCATCATGCTACGTGAATGTTGAGCACCCACATGATCACTGTGTATCAAACAAAATGTAGTACATAAACAGCAGCAACAACAACAATAATGCTGGGAGATACCACTCACATCTGCGAGTAGCATGATTGGAGTGCGGAAAAGTATGCGATTGACCATTTCTCACAATGACCAAAAATTGAGCAAGACCTTCTGGAGCGAATTACTGTGTTTACAATGGTAACTGAAGAAAATGCGCATCTACCATCGAACCGTTCCACTAACTATCCTTCGCGCTTGTTGAAATGACTTTTTCCAAATGAAACATTTTGTTGCGTGAATGCCAATAGATCGATATCCTTAGCGGTGTTTGTAATAAACAACTCACCTTGTCCCAGCACTGTGTTGTGGATGTATAACAATAGTAGAATGATATCAATAACTGTGATGTAAGCATACGTTGTGTATGTGTGTGTGAGAGAGAGAGCATCACTCTTTCAGGCGGGAGACACTTTGATCGATCCCAATTTGAGGGATCAAAACATTCAAATGAGATTGCAAACAAGTTACTTGCTGTATCTTCTGTCGTCTGAGTGGGAATCATAATATATATATATATATATATATATATATATATGCGTTAGCTGGATTAGTTCTATTGACACCAACTCAGATGATTTGTGATGTTGTGATGTGTTGTGCGAATTGAACACTCATTATTTCTCGAACTCACTGACCACTTTTGAAAATTTCAGGATGATTCCGAATTGGAGTCGTATTTGTTGCGCACGCTAAAAACCATCGGCGGGGCCGCGGTGGCCAGTGCGCCCAATTCACGTCGACCATCTGGATCCGAGTCGCGTAGCAAGGTGAGTTAGGTTTCGGTATTATTCCTCACATTATTAAACCAGTTAGTTACTTTACGTTGCATCACGACAAGATTGCACTTTGACGTGGTGTGATGACTTCTGCATCTCTGTGATCCAACGAGCTGCGCAGGATGGCTTTTGTCAAACCGGAAGATCTGATCATGCTTGGTAGGTCGAAGGGTAGAAGTCGGACAAAGTCCAGTCTTCTGGTCCTCCAGGTTGCGGGCTTGAATAGAGTTAGCGTCTCAGTCGGTAAAAATGGTAGAGGAGTAATCGATCTAAGTAAATGGGCCTCCACTTAGCTTCATCCGCTGCCTTGCGGCTAGGTTCTTGTCAGAACTAAAAGCTTTGGTTTTCCAACTTAGTGACTGGACACCCTAGTGGTACCCGTCCATCAAACCCCAGTGCATAAGCATTGCGAGTTTGGCAGCGATCAGTGAAGTTCGCTTCTCTGTATTTCACTGTGCGATGATGATGATTTTGCGTTACATTGCCTCACTATTGACGGTTTCGTGCATCGCGATCACGCGCCGTTTGTCCCTGTCCACGCGCGCACTTCGCTAACTAAATGTTCTCATTGGTGTCTGAGGATCCTTAAGGGTTCCTCCTAGGTCTATTGCCTTACGCGCCTACAGTTATTTCAGAATATCGCCCAATCACTTTCTTATGCAGGTGTGATTGTCCGCCCTCGGTTTCTTGGCCTCATGCCTATTTCCGTTCGTAGACGATTCGTTCGCATTTTAATCTCATTTCGCATCCTTCCTTTCCCAATAGTTTGGATTACCTTCCGCTGCAACTCGTGAGAAGCTGGCGGAAATTTTCAAAAAGGTTGCATCCAAACAACCCGAGGAAGTGAGTTTTCCGCCGTCGGCTACGACCCCTTGATCACTATTTTTTGTCACGAAATTTTTATGCCACCTCGTTGTATGCTTTGAAAGTGCACTTCGATCGAAATGCCAAAACATCACTGATTTCCGCCCGTTTGCNAACGGTACATCTGGATTATTGTTGGCTTGTCTTTTCTATTGGGCCGCACAGTCTAGGTCTTTAGTCTGAATGATTTACCCGACTCTGTTTGCGGACACTTCTCCAAACTTGTCGACTGGCGGGCCGAACTAGGATACCGAGGTCTACCGAGAATAATTTTCATTCCTCTCTTCATTCTAATCAAAAATTGTGATCATATAACTTCGTGTGTAAATTTAGGTCACGTGAATCCGAGCAACCACAATCGCTCAGTCAGTCTGCCTGCCGTTGTATACCCACAACCCGATCCCATTTCCACGGCTTAGCCCCCTCCCAATCTGAATGTAAACACTTAGTGCAATTCAAAGTACCCCGTCTAGCTCCCACCAAGATCACACACGCGAACTGATTGTAAATTGGCAGAGTTGATCTTTTGTTTCATCATTGTTGCATAGGACTTGTTCATTACTCATATCTCAATATACCGGTGAACATCTCTAAACCAGAGATCCAGGGACAAACGTGTCCCTAACCCACCCCTTTGCTATAATTATTTGACCTCGAATGTGTGACCACAACGCAACACCTTCCCGCTTTTTTCTTACATGACTGTGATTGTATTGGCTTGCGAAGGAACTCACCGAAAACATATGTTCGCCTATGACCTGTGTTCTGATTATGACTATCAGCTTAATTGGCGATATTTGTTTAACAGACAAGATTGACGGTACACGTCTTTTTAATACAATGTTCTCCAAGGAGCCAGCCCATTTTTTGAATCTCCTCCATCGCAATCACAACAGATCATTTGCATCAATCTAGGTTTTTACCAAGTTATCATGTTTTGCGGCAAAGTTCAGAAATCAACTCTAAACTATGCATTCTCATCGTTTGAACCCAGGCCGTTT